ACACTCTACTCAGCAAATTGGATGTAGTCTATCACAGTGCCATCCGTTTTGTCTCCAAAGCCCCATACACTACCCACCACTGTGACCTGTACGCTCTTGTTGGCTGGTCCTCACTACATGTTCGTCGTCAAACCCACTGGCTCCAGGCCATCTATAAATCACTGCTAGGCAAATCCCCGCCTTATCTTAGCTCATTGGTCACCATAGCAGCACCCACCCGTAGTCTGCGCTCCAGCAGGTATATCTCACTGGTCATTCCCAAAGCCAACACCTCCTTTGGCCGCCATTCCTTCCAGTTCTCTGCTGCCAATGACTGGAACGAATTGCAAAAATCTCTGAAGCTGGAGACTCTTATCTCCCTCAATAACTTTAAGCATCAGTTGTCAGAGCACCTTACCGATCACTGCACCTGTACACAGCCCATCTGAAATTAGCCCACCCACTACCTCATCCCTATATTGTTATTTATTTTGCTCTTTTGCACCCCAGTATCTCTATTTGCACATAATCTCTTGCACATCTAGCATTCCAGTGTTAATACTATTGTAATTATTCTGCACTATAGCCTATTTATTGCCTTACCTCCATAACTTGCTACATTTGCACACACTGTATATATATTTTCTGTTGTATTTTTGACTTTATGTTTTTTTACCCCATATGTAACTCTGTGTTGTTTTTATTGCACTACTTTGCTTTATCTTGGCCAGGTCGCAGTTGTAAATGAGAACCTGTTCTCAACTGGTTTACCTGGTTAAATAAAGGTGAAATAAAAAATAAATAAAAATAAACACTGAAAATATCTGGACACAAGCGCTTTACTGTTCCAACTCAGTGTGCAAGTTAGGCTATACACACATGCAGACACACAAACTCACTCACACCTCATAACACAGGACTAACATCCCTATGTTGGGTTATTCTGGGTTCTCCCATGTCTATTATATTTTAATGACTATTTTAAAATATTCCACACAAACAACACCCTCCTAACCACTGGAACAGTGAGAACTTCATTAGGGCCACAGTTAGGCCATAAGCCAGAGGGAACTTGGCCCCACCAAAGGTGGTTAAACGTAACAAATATTGTTGAACGTAGGTTGTAAAAATGACAATAACAGTATAGTAACTGCGGTTTCATTTGCCCCCAGTCACTAAGCTGTCTGTCTTGATTAACTTGTTTTTGGTTGAAAGCTTTGCTGTTTAGTGGGACATGTCTTATGCCTTCCAAGTACCTGCGCGTATGAGGGCCTGTGTGAGTATCTATGACATAAGAGCTAGGCCTTTCTAAAACAGTGACTCTTATTGCAGTTCAGTGGAAATATTTCAGCACAGGAGCCAACCGGAAAGAATTCCTTTCTTCTTAGCGCTCTCTTCCAGATAAAAAGCCTCTCACCTCTCCCTGTCTGGCCTGTCCGGCTACAGTACCAGCACATTACTCACATGACTCCTTGTTCACGTCCCACTGAGCTCTCCTGTGTGTCACTGCCAGTCAGGCTTATCAGTACAAGCTGTTAGACTGATCCCCTCCATCCACACAGGTGGAAAATAAGCTAAATATGACCCCAGTGTCAGTCATAAAGTCTAATGAGTAGAGCCCAATCAAATCTACACAGGGGTAGAGTTTCCTTAAGCCACTAGAAATACTGGTTTAATTAATTCAGATCAAACTAGGCAGTGTACTGCTACATGTATAGCTAAGTTATTATTTATTAAATATGCAGACAATGTTTTTAATGGACCCTTTCTACATACTAATATGCCTCTGTACATTGTAATTGCTGGATCTTGTCCATCATCACTGTAATATATGTATGGGTGTTAGTGTTCCTGTGCATGAAGGGTGTTGGGTCTTTGTTTTCATGCAAATGGTTATGTCTGTGGATGGTGCTGGTGCTGGTAAATGGGGTTGGATACCACCTGTTAGTCCATCAATCACTCTCTGGGCCTTTGTGAAATCTGAGATGGGACTAAGGCTAGTCAGTGTGTGGCAGAGCATAATTCTACTCCATTGTAGACGGTATGTGTGTTCTTGTACAGTGTAGGCTATACAGGCATTTCCATATAGTTCTGATTTTCTGTGTCTTTTATTGAATTCATGCATACATTTGGATGAAAGAGGTTGTTTTAGGCTGGCAGTGGCTGGGGGAGCATGAGGGCTAAGTGGTGGGTTAGTGGTCTGGATGCCATCTCCCAAGCAGATGGGCGTCATTAGTGACAATGAACATTGAACTACAGGGGCCAAATGTAATAACGGGGAATCTATTTCCTGCTTGGCTTTCACAGTGCGCCAGCCAAACTGGTATGAAGCTCAAGCTACCACTTTCTCTTCATCTTCTGTTTTTGGCTATATCGTTTTTCCACGGTCCGAGTCCAAGTTTTTTTTTTTTACCACTACTGCAAATTGATGCCTGCTTTAGAGGTCTGACAAAAGAAAACACGCACATGCCAACAAATGTGAATGCTTTTGATTTAAGCCTTTTCCAGACTATTCTCTGCTTTACTCGTAGAGAACAGGCTACTCTGGTGAATAGTACTCGTTTAATAAAGTTAGATCAAAGCTGAATCAATGTCTGCAAGATCACATAATGATAGTATTCTACATAACAGAACCGATTATAATAGTATGACGTTACTGTAAGAACAAAACACCAACGCATTTTCCTCTCGTGGCCAAAACTGAAAAGCGTGTGTCGCTAGGTAAAATACACAAGTAGGCTATGCTACAGTTTCTTAACACCATCTTTTCTCAAATTCGCTCTGTACATCATTCAAAACAACACTGTAGGCTACTTCGAAACAACACTGTATAACTCAAGAAGATCTAAATGCATGTCCCCATGAAACTGAGTGAGCTCAAATTTTTGGTAATCAGATGGTAAAACTTAAAGAATGATCATTCACGATTGACAGTGAGAAATGTGAAGGGAAGGAGACCACAAAAATGTGTGTGTAAAGAAATGAAGGCGCATAACGTGAGCCGTACGTGCAGAAGCTCCAGGAACTTTAGTCCATGGAAAAAAGGTCAGGGAAAAGTTGGATCTGCAGCCACTCCATTTGATTTTACCTGGGATTCCCTCAGGAGTGCCTATGTTGGCCTTTGTTTCGAACAAGGGTGAGCTTGATTCAATTATGTTCCGGTCAATTCATTTCAATGCAATGCAATATGATTTGAGTTCAGTTAGGGACAGCTCAAGGCATTCATGATTCTTTCACAGGTAGTGAGTATGTTATCCCAGAATCAGAACCAATGTGGATAAGGATTGTCAATAGGAAGTTGATGCACAGAGGTTACTAGACAGTTTGATGCTTTGTAAGAGCCTAAATGCATAACAGCTTTTATTGTAATCATACTGCATTAGACCCAAGTTGCTCAAACACCGACAGTGTTATTGAAAAAGGAAACTGATATACACTTCTCAAAAAAATAAAGGGAACACTAAAATAACACATCCTAGATCTGAATGAATGAAATAATCTTATTAAATACTTTTTTCTTTACATAGTTGAATGTGCTGACAACAAAATCACACAAAAATTATCAATGGAAATCAAATTTATCAACCCATGGAGGTCTGGATTTGGAGTCACCCTCAAAATTAAAGTGGAAAACCACACTACAGGCTGATCCAACTTTGATGTAATGTCCTTAAAACAAGTCAAAATGAGTGTGTGTGGCCTCCACGTGCCTGTATGACCTCCCTACAACACCTGGGCATGCTCCTGATGGGGTGGCGGATGGTCTCCTGAGGGATCTCCTCCCAGACCTGGACTAAAGCATCTGCCAACTCCTGGACAGTCTGTGGTGCAACGTGGCGTTGGTGGATGGAGCGAGGCATGATGTCCCAGATGTGCTCAATTGGATTCAGGTCTGGGGAACGGGCAGGCCAGTCCATAGCATCAATGCCTTCCTCTTGCAGGAACTGCTGACACACTCCAGCCACATGAGGTCTAGCATTGTCTTGCATTAGGAGGAACCCAGGGCCAACCGCACCAGCATATGGTCTCACAAGGGGTCTGAGGAGCTCATCTCGGTACCTAATGGCAGTCAGGCTACCTCTGGCGAGCACATGGAGGGCTGTGCGGCCCCCCAAAGAAATGCCACCCCACACCATGACTGACCCACCGCCAAACCGGTCATGCTGGAGGATGTTGCAGGCAGCAGAACGTTCTCCACAGCGTCTCCAGACTCTGTCACGTCTGTCACATGTGCTCAGTGTGAACCTGCTTTCATCTGTGAAGAGAACAGGGCGCCAGTGGCGAATTTGCCAATCTTGGTGTTCTCTGGCAAATGCCAAACGTCCTGCACGGTGTTGGGCTGTAAGCACAACCCCCACCTGTGGACGTCGGGCCCTCATACCACCCTCATGGAGTCTGTTTCTGACCGTTTGAGCAGACACATGCACATTTGTGGCCTGCTGGAGGTCATTTTGCAGGGCTCTGGCAGTGCTCCTCCTGCTCCTCCTTGCACAAAGGCGGAGGTAGCAGTCCTGCTGCTGGGTTGTTGCCCTCCTACGGCCTCCTCCACGTCTCCTGATGTACTGGCCCGTCTCCTGGTAGCGCCTCCATGCTCTGGACACTACGCTGACAGACACAGCAAACCTTCTTGCCACAGCTCGCATTGATGTGCCATCCTGGATGAGCTGCACTACCTGAGCCACTTGTGTGGGTTGTAGACTCCGTCTCATGCTACCACTAGAGTGAAAGCACCGCCAGCATTCAAAAGTGACCAAAACATCAGCCAGGAAGCATAGGAACTGAGAAGTGGTCTGTGGTCACCACCTGCAAAACCATTCCTTTATTGGGGGTGTCTTGCTAATTGCCTATAATTTCCACCTGTTGTCTATTCCATTTGCACAACAGCATGTGACATTTATTGTCAATCAGTGTTGCTTCCTAAGTGGACAGTTTGATTTCACAGAAGTGTGATTGACTTGGAGTTACATTGTGTTTTTTAAGTGTTCCCTTTATTTTTTTGAGCAGTGTATTTAACTACCTGTCTCAACAGAAATGGGAAGAAGGAGTCGGACCTGGAGGCTGCTCTGGCCCGGCTGAGGGATTTAGAGGCTCTGTTGAACTCTAAAGATGCCTCCCTGTCCACCGCCCTGGGGGAGAAACGCTCTCTAGATGCTGAGGTCAGGGACCTGAAGGCCCAGCTAGCCAAGGTAAGAGACTAGTGGTAAAGGCCTAATGGATAACTGTGACAACTCTGAATTCTACACATACTGCATACTCGCACCTCAGGTACAGGTTTCAGACTGCATATAATTGGATGAAAAAAAACTCCCCTACCGGAAATTATATTTTTTCTTCCATTGTATATAAAGAAAAATGGTTACATTTAAAGAACTATCAATTGTGAATAGGATTTTTGGGTAAGTGCTGTAACAAGTTCAGTGCATCATCATGGATCGTTCTATGCCACCTTTTGGTCACGTAAGTGGAGTGCGTGAGAACCGCCTGCAGACCCTCAAGGAAGAACTGCAGTTCCAGAAGAACATCTACGGAGAGGTGAGACTCTCTCTCTCTCTCTCTTACCTCACACTTACCCTCTGTCTCGCCTTTTCTCATTTTCTTCCTTTACCTCTCTCTCTCTTTACCTCTCTCTCTCTTTACCTCTCTCTCTACCTCTCTCTCTACCTCACTCTCTCTTTTTCTCTCTCTTCTCTTTCTTTCTCTCATTATTTTTCTCTCCCTTATTTTGTTTCCTCGTCTTTGTCTTTCTTTCTTTCTTTCTGTCTTTCTTTCTTTCTTTCTTTCTTTCTTTCTCTTTCTTTCTTTCTTTCTTTCTTTCTTTCTTTCTTTCTTCTTTCTTTCTCTTTCTTTCTTTCTTTCTTTCTTTCTTCTTTCTTCTTTCCTTTTCTTTCGTTCTTTCTTCTTTCCTTTCTTTTCTTTCTTGCTTTCTTTCTTTCTTTCGCTTCCTCGTCTGTCCTCTTCACTAGCCTTGTAAACCAGACTGATGGAACACCGAGATCAGTCTGGTTTATGAGGTTACCTCTTCACCCTCTCTTCTATAACTCAGGTATGCCTGTACCGTCTATCTCCCTGCAGGAGCTGAGGGAGTCCAAGCGCAGGCACGAGTCTCGCATGGTGGAGATTGACAGTGCAGGAACAAAGCAGGATTACGAGAGTAAGCTGGCCGAGGCCCTGATGGAGCTGAGAGCCCAGCACGAGGAGCAGGTCCGCATCTACAAGGACGAGATCGAAAAGACCTACAACTCCAAGGTAGGGAGCAGAACCCACAGGTCCACACTGCCAGCTCAAACGTGGACTAGAAGTAGATCAGTTGAAATCGGTAGTACTGTCCATTCATCATTCAACATCCTTTCACTGGCCCAGTGCCAACCTAGCACAGACACATGGTTTCGTTCTGACCTCTGGCCCTGTGTGTGTCTCAGCTGGAGAACGCCCGTCACTCTGCAGACAGGAACAGCACCCTGGTGGGGGCGGCCCACGAGGAGCTGCAGCAGACCCGTGTGCGGATGGAGGGCATGTCCTCCCAGCTCAGCCAGCTGCAGAAACAGGTACGGCTGCACCCTGTCCATCTGTCAATCACAGAAGTCTCTTACCGTATATCTCCGTACTGTGGAGCTCTGACAGCTGTAATCTTAGCTCAAGTGTTGGCTCTCTAATACAAAGTATTAGCACAGTTCATCTCATCTCTATCTAATATGGCCGTTTGGTTGGTCTAACCGGCGTATCAACCCTCTCTGTGTTAGCTGGCGGCGAGGGAGGCCAAGATGCGTGAGCTGGAGGAGTCTCTGGCCCGTGAGCGGGACATGATGCGCCAGCGCCTGGAGGACAAGGAGAAGGAGATGAGGGGACATGCGCATGCGAATGCAGCAACAGCTGGATGAATACCAGGAGCTGCTGGACATCAAACTGGCCCTGGACATGGAGATCAGCGCCTACCGTAAACTGCTGGAGGGAGAGGAGGAGAGGTGAGGAGACATTACACATCATGCATACACACACACACACATTAGATTTGTATCAACAATCTTCTTCTCTGCCTCCCCCCAGACTGCGTCTGTCTCCCAGCCCTCCCCCAACCCGAGTCACCGTGTCCCGTACCACCGGTTCGGGCTCAGCACACACCCTTACCACCCGTACCTCCGGCTCAGGACACAGCCACAGCGCCCGCGTTTTCCAGTCCACCAGCGGCAGTCGCAACTCCTCAGGCACGGCCAGCGCCAAGAAGAGACGGCTCAATGACAACGACAGCGAGACCTCCAGCCTGGCGGGGGGCGTCGTGACCCGTACACGCATCGCCCAGCAGGCCTCTGCTAGTGGCCGCGTCACCGTGGACGAGGTGGACCTGGAGGGGAAGTACGTCCGCCTCAGCAACAAGGCCAACGAGGTATGGAGTTAATCGGTCAGCTTGACATACAATGGGTGCTTTATGCTACGATGCGTCGCATGCTTTCTGTTATATGGTAAAAACACCATGTTGGGTGATGAACTACTTAGTGATTTTAGTTGACATTGGCTGAAACAGACTTAATGCTTATCTGTTCTCCTTCAGGACCAGCTCCTGGGCCACTGGCAGGTGAAGAGACAGGTGGGCACCAGCACCCCCATCGTCTACAAGTTCCCCCCCAAGTTCACCCTTAAGGCAGGACAGACCGTCACAGTGAGTAAAACCTTCATCATGTCTGCACTGTCATCAACTATGTTTGTGTTCAGTTTTTCGTACACGATGTTGAGAGAAGTGTGTATTCTAACAGTGAGCAGCACGTTTGTCACAATGTAGGCCTGTGTGTAAAGTATCTGTAGCATGTGATCAGGCCATAACAGACAGTCCTGTACCTCTTCCCTCTGTAGATTTGGGCTTCAGGAGCAGGTGGCACCCACAATCCCCCCTCAGACCTGGTGTGGAAGACCCAGAACTCATGGGGCAGCGGAGACCTGTTCCAAACCACCCTGGTCAGCGCCAATGGAGAGGTGAGACACACACGACACACGCACATGTTTGTAGTTGTACCCTTCCCATTGTCCCGTTGACTGTTCAGTCTTGCTCTTGGCAACATCATCCCACTTCCTACATTTTGAATGCATGTGAGATTTGATAAATTACATTACTCACGTCATAGCCAATTGACAAACTGACTGTTCTGCGCCTCTCTTTCCCACAGGAAATGGCACAGAGGAAAGTTACACGCACCCTGCTCCAGGAAGATGATGACGATGACGTGAGTCTCACTGTTTATGAAAGACGCAGGCTCAGGACGATAAATAAATAAATGACTCATACTATACTTGCACTGTGAGGAAGGCTATTGAGCCAAAACATTGTTCATGATCGCCTGTTTCAGATGAAAATAGGTTAATTTATGTAGAGTACTTATTTAGTCACCCAACAAGGCCAGGGGAGTGTGATGATACATCTAAAATACTTATCTAAAGGGTGACAAGAAAAATAGAAATACTTTGATTTACCCAGTGCTAAAAAGTGTAGGAACCACTGCCTCACAGTGGCTACAGTTGGTATTTAACAGTAATGTTCGAACCTTCTGTTCTCTGTCTCCCTCTGCAGGGCAACCACAGCGCATGCGGTGTGGACAGTGAGTACAACCTGCGGAGCCGCACGGTGGTCTGTGGCTCGTGTGGCCAGCCGTCTGATAAGAGCTGTGTCACCTCAGGGGTGTCCAGCGGCTCCTGCTCCATCAGCAGTGGAGGAGGGGGTCTACCTGAGGGCCTGATGTCTCCCCTCTTTATAATGGGCAGCAACTCACCCAGACAGGTACTGTAGGACTCCATTATCTGTTTGATCATGTAGATCGTTTTAATGAAGACAAATGCATTTTAACCCACATTTTAAGACACCTTAACACACTATTTCTGTTTCAAAGAACAAACACCCCCTCATTCTCTCTCTCACTCACATGCGCACAGCAACACTGTTATCCCAGTTTTCCTGTTTCTCGTGCTGTTATGACAACATCGCCTTCCTGTCCCCCCCCCCCCATATCACTTCCTGTCTTTCTCAGGGAGGTCCCAGACCGGAGAACTGCTCCATCATGTAAAACCAGGCAGGCACCACCTTACCTGGACAAGAACCTCCCACACCACACATGGATGGGAGACTCCTTTTTTTATTTGTTTATTACTTTTTACTTCCTTTGTTTCGTATATGATTGGTCCTATTTTGTATGACATAATCTGCAGGTTAGATTGGCTTTGGTGTTTGGAAAAGGGTTAGGAGCTGCGTATTCACTTCAGATATATGAGCTTGTATATTCGAGTTATATTGCATGTGGGCTGGGCAGATGCTTGCACTGTTTAGGGCCATATCTAGGGAGAGAGGCACAGAAAGCACCTTTAACCATTACAGTGGACTTTTGTGTCTCATGTCTAAGCTGTCAACACTAAATACGCACAGCAGCAAACCCTGTGGGGGCTGGAACCAGGGATCTCTGCCCTGGTATTCCCCATACACTACCATAGAATGTCCTGAATGTCACTTAATAGAGATGGAGTTGACCCCCTCAGACCCCTAGAGGATTATGGGTTTTTTGTATTAGACTGAGCGATGGGATGATGGGATTGGTCATTCTAAAGCCATAGTTACAAAGAGGAGCTCAAACTTGAAACTGCCATCAAGTGGTTTATATTTCTGAACACAAGGCGGTAGTTTTTTATGGAATGACATCTATAGTATTACTCATGAAACAATCAGACAACTATGGTGATATGGATATAGGTTCCAAATTGTGACTTGTTTTCACAGGCTTGAAAGAGGTTCGTAGTTGTTAAAGAAAGGAAAGCAAACGAGATGAGCGCACAGATATGGGTACTGTATTGTAGTACTGTATTGTAAAGTTGAGGAAGGTCTTCATATGACCTCTAGAAAGAGTTTCCTCTTAGAGGCTGATAATCCTTGTCTGACCTCACCTTTGTCTTGTTTGAAAAAACAAAACAATTATGCCACACCTTTTTGTTTAGGTAGTTGTACTGTAGGGCAACTCATCAAGGCAGAAAAATATGATTTCTAGGGACTATTTTGTTGCATTTTGAATCTGAGATAATTGCCAAATGGATTATAGTAATGTTACTGTAACGTTCTATTATGATTCTGCATGTTAATGGATGAGGGAATGAGGCAGACTCTAAAGACAGAAATTGTCTGAGTTGGAAGTATGTTGATTTAAATGAAAGGACAATGCTTACCTTCTCATGACAGCAGTGCAACAGAATGTGTACATTCTGTACCTTTGTTTGTATCAGGTGTAGTGTCAGAAATAATGGGTTCAGATAGTTAGTAAGTAAGCCTTGCTAGAGCCTGAACGGCCCATAGGGGTAGTTAGACTATATGGTATTATCTGGCCAAAAGTTTACTTTATTCATGAACTACAGTATGTTGCACTGGCAAATATGTTGGTGCCAATATTGCCTCATAGCATATTTTCAGTGTAATCAATTATTGTCTTCAATTACTGTTTATATTTACATGGTGCATAAGAACTCTCACTTTGACAATGTCAGAAAGAGTATTTACTAGAGAAGGAAACCTAAATGAAACTTAAACCATCCATTCCTCATGATATGATGCCAATTTCACATTGACTTATTTTGTCCTCTGTAATCATGTATTGTAGTCTTGAGACTATTGTCCAGAGGCCTCTCTCCCACTAAAGGATTATAATGGCTATGTTTTTCTGAGCTTAGTGGCTTTGCTTTTGGGCATGTTTATACATTTTTGGGGGGGGGTTGGGAGGAGGGGTATGAGAGCTTCTTATTTCTTTATAACTTTGTCAAGAACGAGCTACAATCATCTACAAAGCTTTATCCACTGCATATTAAGAGGCATGTACAGTAGTCTGGCAGCCTTTTATAGGATGTATAAGCAGTAAAGATTTTCTGAGAATACTTGATAGTTTTTGCAACATTGTTTTGTTTTTTGTACTTCATACACATTTCTATCACTACCAAATAGGAGAAAAGGTGATTATTCTCACTGTCTCATAAATACCTGAGAAAAGCTCAATATTCATTTTTTACTTGACCGATTCAGTTTAACTTTTGTCACTTTTTTCAGTATATTTCTTTTCTCAAGTGCCTTATTGATACCTGCTAGTGATAATTGAAAAGTGATGTATTCTTCTTGCATTATGAAGTGTCAATTCCAAAGATATGTGGTATTTTGTCTTTAAAGACAATGGAATTTATAGATTTACAGAGTATGTAGGCTATATTTGCATATTTGTACGGAAATTGTCCTTGTACATAATGCTCAATTGAATTTGTAAGAAATGATTATGCCTAATATAGAAAAGCCATGCAATCCAAGTAGAATGTAGTAGTGATTTACTATTTTTTGCCTTTAAAATTATTTTCCCAACACTTGCTCTCTTGTGGTTGACTTCTTAATCAAATTTAATCTGTGGTTTGATGTGTGATATTAGATTTCAAGTAGCTACTTGAATACAAAATACTAATGAACAAGTGCATAAAAAGTTCAGCCATTTTATGTACATTATATACAACATATTGCATGATTACATTGAAAAACAGTGAAAAACATTGAGGAGCTAACAAAAAAAGATATATATAAAATAATTCAGGAGCTAGCTGTACAAATGTGCTCTGGATTTCCCCTAATTGGAAGCTGACATTCTATGGACTATAGTGGAGAGGAAAAGGGGTTTGAGAGGACATCATACTAAACTACTGACATCATTGAGATATAAAAATGCCCTTTAATTGCCGTCCCAGTTTATGCAATTCTGGTCAAAAGGCTTGTATGACAAATCACATGCTCCAAAAGCCAAGTCCCTTCAACTGCAGTATGAAAATAACTTTTGAAGAAATCCCAAGTTTGGTCAAACTCCAATGTATGCATGTATGTCCTCGAACTGCGATACTGGCATCTTCAAAGTTTGTCCCCACAGGCCTTGGCCCTCGAGTCTGGATCCCAAGCCTGTAACGGTGGAGAAAATGTCACCTTGATCCACCAGGGGGCAGTGTTACTATGTAAACACATTGACAGAAGAATCGGCATAATCTGCTGTCTTTGTCAGGTTGCCTTGACTGTCACTGGTGCAACTGGCTGTTTTGTAGCCTTGAATAACCCCAAGACAACTTCCTACCAATGTTTTTGAATGGCAGTAAAGTTTTTCTTCTGATTGTGATGTTCAGAGTTGGGCTGGTGTCATTGGGGCAGTCTCCTGCGTGTGGGAGAGGGTGGGCGGCGGACCGGTGGCAGGTCGTAGTGTCCTGGGATGTGGCTGTTCACAGGTAGGTCATAGTGATTCTGGGGCTCCTGCTCTGGGACCTGCCCAAGGGAACTGCGCTCTGAAAAATGTGAAATAAACATATTGTAAGCAATTGTCATACATTTACTGGAGTTTATATTTCTGATTGTCTTATGTTTACTCAAATACTGTGAATGCTAAATTAAGGATAGTATCATCCATAGGACATCTCCCCTGTGGTTTAATAATCCCTCACATGACCTCTCATTTCCATGAAAACAGTTCTGCCCATTCAACCATGTGTTACGGAAACCCATCCATCTTATTTGTCAATCCATCCCACAAACAATTTTCTATTTGCACAGGGTTCTTCTAAGTCCAACATTTTATTCATTTTCTCTGAGTATGCTATGTGAAACCTAAACGTTTTACATAGTGAGAGAATTTTCCATAGTTTTTCTGTTTTACATACAAGAATAGCCAGATATTCCGTATATACTACTGATATAAATTGGAAGGATCTTGAAGGGTGCTGAACTGTACAGTAAACCACCTCTGCGTAGTGTGGCTGTGCTGAATGGTGGAGGGTTGATCTCGGTGTAGGACCTCTCACGGGGCATGGCCGTCCTCATCTCCATGTAGCTGCTCTCAGGAGGGCCGAAGGGCAGGCCGGGCAGGTCTTTAATGGTGGCGTAAGGGTTCTCACTGTTCAGAGAACTGCTGCTAGCTGCCACTACAGTGTCCTTCAGCTCTGTCACTAACAAGGGGTAGAGTGTAAAAGTTAACAGAGGATCTGACTAGCTCTGGGTCAGCCAGGTCACATGTACAGTGCCTTGTAAAAGTATTCATCCCCCTTGGCATTTTTCCTATTTTGTTGCATTACAACCTGTAATTTAAAATTGATTTTTATTTGGATTTCATTTAATGGACATACACAAAATAGGCCAAATTGGTGAAGTGAAAAGAAAAACATAACTTGTTTCTAAAAAATAAATAACGGAAAAGTGGTGCGTGCAAAAAAGCAAACACGTTTGGTGTTCACCAAAAGGCATGTGGGAGACTCCCCAAACATATGGAAGAAGGTACTCTGGTCAGATGAGACTACAATTGAGCTTTTTGGCCATCAAGAAAAACGTTATGTCTGGCGCAAACCCAACACCCCGAGAACACCATCCCCACAGTGAAGAATTGTGGTGGCAGCATCATGCTGTGGGGATGTTTTTCATCGGCAGGGACTGGGAAACTGGTCAGAATTGAAGGATGACGCTAAATACAGGGAAATTCTTGAAGGAAACCTGTTTGTCTTCCAGAGATTTGAGACTGGGACGGAGGTTCACCTTCCAGCAGGACAATGACCCTTAGCATACTGCTAAAGCAACACTCAAGTGGTTTAAGGGGAAACATTTAAATGTCTTAGAATGGCCTAGTCAAAGCCCAGACCTCAATCCAATTGAGAATCTGTGGTATGACTTAAAGATTGCTATACAACAGCGGAACCCATCCAACTTGAAGGACCTGGAGCAGTTTTGCCTTGAAGAATGGGCAAAAATCCCAGTGGCTAGACGTGCCAAGCTTATAGAGACATACTCCAAGAGACATGCAGCTTTAATTGCTGCAAAAGGTGGCTCTACAAAGTATTGACTTTGGGGGGGATGAATAGTTATGCACTCTCAAGTTTTCCATTTTTTTGGTCTTATTTCTTGTTTTGTTTCACAAGAAAAAATATTTAGCATCTTCAAAGTGGTAGGCATGTTGTGTAAATCAAATGAAAAAAAATCAATTTTAATTCCAGGTTGTAAGGCAACAAAATAGGAAAAATGCCAAGGGGGGTGAATACTTTCGCAAGCCACTGTAGCTTGTAATCTGGTGATGGGTCGACAGTTCAGACATTATTTATGTCTGAACTGAAAGGAAGGCTGGTGTGAAAATGGATTGATGGAAATGTTGCCTAGAATAGTTCTAGAGAAAAGCAAGCATATTTCATGTTAACTTGGAATTGCTGGAAATGAAGGAGAAAAGGGATATAGGAAGCATGGAAAACTACCTTTGTTGTAATATTTCCCAAGGCTGGCACTGTAGCTATAACTGCGGTCAATGCTGAAAGCTCCTGTAAACATTAAACACATATTTGGCATAATCTATTTTATTTATAGCAAACTCATAAAAGACAAATAGCCTGTCTTGGTGTTAAATCAATACCAGGTGATGAAACGGCTGAGGATGAAAGTTGGCGAAGAACGGGCAGAGTTTGAAACAGGCAGTAAAAAAGACCTGGTTCTTTGCGAGCCTCATGGTGTTTCCAGTCTGCAGGCAAAGTAGCATTGCTCTCCACCCCAAACAGGCCTCGCCCTCTCTCCCTCTCCATGTTCTTCACGTTACAGAAGAGCTGGTTATTGGTGTTCTGTTTAAAAGACACCAATATTAACCAATCAGAAATCATACAGCTCCTCTCAAACAACAAGTGTATCCAGTATAAAGTATATAACAGAGTTGACTCGAGGCGGAGATGACGGTTATGACACTTGCCTTGATGGCGCGGTCCTGGTTGTTGGGGACGTGTGGTAGAGGGGGTCTGCCCCCAGTCAGTGTGTGGTAGCTGGGGTTGGAGTAGTAGTGGTGGTAGCTGTGAGGAACATCTGAGGAGCAAGCAGGGACATAAAATACATTACTGTGTATGAATCCTAACCTAAAACTACAGTATGGATACATTATGTGGTCAAACTATTCGTAAACATTCGTTTTTTTATCATCTGTTTAAATCAATGCTGTATCAATACAGTACCTGGTATTGCGTATTCGGAGTTGACCGTGCGTGAGGTGGAGAAGGAGACTGTTGGTGTGTTGGCTTGCTTGTCTTTCTGCCGGCGGCGGTACAGCAGTAGCAGGGCCAGCAGCAGCACCACCAGGATGACCAGCACCACGATGCCCGCGATGGCCCCCCACGAGTCCCTCTCCCCCGGGGACACGGGCACCATCATACTCACAAAGCGTTCTGCGGTGCACAGAGAACATGGGTCATCACCGTCACAGACCATCCAGTCATCACCATAACAATGCTTAATGCTGGATTGGCCTTAGATAGACAATAACCAAAGTGTCATTACCGTCTTATTTAACTGGATTGTAGTAGATTCAATAGACAACTCAATAAACAACTATTATAGTCTGGTAGCTATGGCCAACAGTATGTCATTACTAGCTTGTAAACAGATGTATGGTTAGTAACTGTTCATTGGGTAAAGGGGAGACCATACCATACCTTTTCTGCAGTCGATCCCTGGTCCTGACTCACACACACACTCCCCTGTCTGTGGGTCGCAGTAGAAGTTGGGTGGGCAGGAGCAGACTTGGGCCACAGTTAAGGCCAAACATCCCAGGATGGCATTCTAGAGACATAGGCGGAGATTAAAAGTATGACTCATAATGAATTTGAAGTCTTTATACAATTGTTCATTGATTTCAATCAGCAAAGGTCAAGTTGGGCATATGTTGTGATACAGTATATTTTACTTCAAAATCCATTGAGCCAGACTTACGTAAAGTACAGTCAGGGCCTGTCCATCCTGGGGGGCAGTGGCAGGACCCGTCCTGATGGTGGCACGATGAGTTGTGGGCACATCTACACACTCCAGTACACTGCTTACCATAGAGACCCACTGGGACAGGCTAGGAATTACACCAAAACACATGTCAAGGTTAAATATAATACACACATAAAAAATTCAACATGTAAAGCACTAAAGTATGCCAAGATGCTGCGGGTCTTCTATATGTTTGCTAGTTTGACTATAGGTGAGATATGGGTTAGTGCTGACCTTGTTCACAAAGGGCTCCAGTGTACCCTGGGGTACACACACACTGGCCTGTGATATGGTGGCAGGAGGAGGAGTGGGCACAGGACGGGCACGTTATACTGCACTGGTCACCATACACACCCGCACTGCACACTGAGAGAAAGAGAGAGATTATGATGATGCATAACAATTTAGCAACTTAACATTCAACTTAGCATTTTCTACTTATTCATAAAGGCAACAATATCATTTTCTGTACTCACTATGTTGACAGGTGGGTCCCCAGTAACCGGGGAGACAGACGCAGGCACCGCTGTGTGGCAGACAGGTGGCGCTGTTCTGACAGAAGCAGCTCTGGTTACAGCGACGTCCCCATGAACCCTCTGGGCATGTCTGGGCACAGCGGGCACCTAGGAGAGAGAGGCACAAACAAGACAGACAGACAGAGAGCGAGACACACACAGAGAGAGACAGACAGAGAGAGCGAGAGAGAGGACACACAGACAGAGAGAGAGAGAGAGAGAGAGAGAGAGAGAGAGAGAAGAGAGAGAGAGAGAGAGAGAGATTAAAACCTGTAGATCACATTGGACTGACTAATTTCCAGGTCCACATCCAAGCTGGTACAAACTCAACGGGGGCGTCGGTGCTTACCAGTCCACCCTGGCAGACACTGGCACTGCCCGCTGACACCCTGGCAGCCGTCTGCGTGTAGGCAGTCACACCTCTTCAGGCAGCCTGGCCCGAACGTGCCCATCTGTACAGCAAACACATGCCAACAGCGAAAGCATCGTCAAGGGAATTCCTGAACCATTTGGCCAGCACAGTCAAGAGTCAAGCAAACTGTACTTTGGCAAGATACACTGTAAATGCATCATAGCTGGCAGATTAATCTCATTGAGGAAAAGGAGGACTGAAGATAAGGGGTAGTCCAGAATATAGGCTTATGGATGCACAGAATGAGCTACAGTAAAGAGATAAAGACAGTGATTATAGTGTGAGTAACATTACTAATCTATGCATTGAAAAAAATCACATTAGGCTTATGTTATGTTAGATTATGTTACCTTTTAACAAACGTTATAGCTACAGTATTACACTGGCACTTACGGGGCATGGTTGGTCGCACAGGGGCCCCTGCCAGCCTGGAGTACAACTGCAGGATCCGTCTGCTGGGTTACACAATGCCCCATTGGCGCACTGGCACGTGGCGTTACAGCCAGGGCCCCAGGTGCCCTTAGAGCAGGGTATGGAGCAGTACCGCCCTCGCCAGCCTGGAGAGAAACAGATACGGACATATTGTAGAGGAATCATACATGTCTGTGTCTGTCAGCCTGTATGTTTGTCTAACGGTCTTTTTGTAAAGAGGAGCAGCCATTTTGGAACAAAATACAAGTCTGCTTCTGAGACCTACGGCTTGATTCAATCTGTATCGCTGAAGTTCAGTGTTACAGCGTCATTGAAATTTAAAGGGAATGTTCCCACGTTAGCGGTGACTGCATTCACGGTAAACGGTGCATATTTAGGGCTCGATTCCATCTGTGTCGCTGAAGCGTTACAAATTGCACGATCTAAATTTAAACGTAATTTCCTATTGAGCCGACATATGCACCGTTTACCGTGAATGCAGTCACCGCTAGATGGAATCGAGCCCTAACTGACTTGTTCATACAATAAGGTAGCCACAGACATACACACCGTTGAGTATGTCTGTGTGTTTGTTTGTCCCATCTGAGTAGAGATATTATGACTAATATCTGTCAGTCAGACTGTCTCTATCAGTTACTCACCCTCTTTGCAGAAGCAGGTCCCATCAATTGGAGAGCAGTCCACTGAGTTGGAGCAGGAGCACTCCAGAGAACAGTTCTTCCCATAGGTACCACTCTTACAGGGACTCTCACAGTGAACACCCTACGCAACAGACATAAGCAGGTTATAACAGCTCACAACAGAAGAAAAGCAGAATATATGAAGTATGAGTATACATTTCTGCATGCATGTACAGTGGGGAAAAAAAGTATTTAGTCAGCCACCAATTGTGCATGTTCTCCCACTTAAAAAGATGATAGAGGCCTGTAATTTTCATTATAGGTACACGTCAACTATGACAGACAAAATGAGGAAAAAAAATCCAGAAAATCACATTGTAGGATTTTTAATGAATTTATTTGCAAATTATGGTGGAAAATAACAAAAGTTTCTCAATACTTTGTTATATACCCTTTGTTGGCACAGGTCAAACGTTTTCTGTAAGTCTTCACAAGGTTTTCACACACTGTTGCTGGTATTTTGGCCCATTCCTCCATGCAGATCTCCTCTAGAGCAGTGATGTTTTGGGGCTGTCGCTGGGCAACACGGACTTTCAACTCCCTCCAAAGATTTTCTATGGGGTTGAGATCTGGAGACTGGCTAGGCCACTCCAGGACCTTGAAATGCTTCTTACGAAGCCACTCCTTCGTTGCCCGGGCGGTGTGTTTGGGATCATTGTCATGCTGAAAGACCCAGCCACGTTTCATCTTCAATGCCCTTGCTGATGGAAGGAGGTTTTCACTCAAAATCTCACGATACATGGCCCCATTCATTCTTTCCTTTAGACGGATCAGTCTCCTGGTCCCTTTGCAGAAAAACAGCCCCAAAGCATGATGTTTCCACCCCCATGCTTCACAGTAGGTATGGTGTTCTTTGGATGCAACTCAGCATTCTTTGTCCTCCAAACACGACGAGTTGAGTTTTTACCAAAAAGTTCTATTTTGGTTTCATCTGACCATATGACATTCTCCCAATCCTCTTCTGGATCATCCAAATAGCAAACTTCAGACGGGCCTGGACATGTACTGGCTTAAGCAGGGGGACACGTCTGGCACTGCAGGATTTGAGTCCCTGGCGGCGTAGTGTGTTACTGATGGTAGGCTTTGTTACTTTGGTCCCATTCTGGGATTTTTGCTCACCGTTCTTGTGATCATTTTGACCCCACGGGGTGAGATCTTGCGTGGAGCCCCAGATCGAGGGAGATTATCAGTGGTCTTGTATGTCTTCCATTTCCTAATAATTGCTCCCACAGTTGATTTCTTCAAACCAAGCTGCTTACCTATTGCAGATTCAGTCTTTCCAGCCTGGTGCAGGTCTACAATTTTGTTTCTGGTGTCCTTTGACAGCTCTTTGGTCTTGGCCATAGTGGAGTTTGGAGTGTGACTGTTTGAGGTTGTGGACAGGTGTCTTTTATACTGATAACAAGTTCAAACAGGTGCCATTAATACAGGTAACAAGTGGAGGACAGAGGAGCCTCTTAAAGAAGAAGTTACAGGTCTGTGAGAGCCAGAAATCTTGCTTGTTTGTAGGTGACCAAATACTTATTTTCACCATTATTTGCAAATAAATTCATTAAAAATCCTACAATGTGATTTTCTGGAGAAAAAAAATCTCAATTTGTCTGTCATAGTTGACGTGTACCTATGATGAAAATTACAGGCCTCTCTCATCTTTTTAAGTGGGAGAACTTGCACAATTGGTGGCTGACTAAATACTTTTTTTCCCCACTGTATATTATCTTAAGTAAATAACCCAAATAAATTATACTTTAGTTATTGTCAGTGCCATCCTGTGCCCCATTTAGTTCTGCCCGTCCTAATCACTCACCGTGTACCCAGGGGTACAGTGGCAGCGCCCGCTCACACTGTCACACACCCCTCCGTTGACACACAGGCAGGGCTCCAGGCAACCATGGCCGTAGTAACCACGGGAGCAGGTCTCGTTGCAGTAAAGCCCCGCCCAGCCTGGCTGGCACGTGCACTCGCCTTTCAGTGGGTGACAGCTGGCCAATGTACAGAGGAAAATATGGTCACATGGGTGAGCACAATTAATACGGAATTAAACTAATCTAAGAATTATAAACAACAAAATCATTTAAAAACTATTATGGGTTTGTGTGTGTGTATGTGTGTGAGTTGTTATGTGTGGCAGTGTGTGTGTGTACCCTTTGTTGATCCATACCTGAGTGTGTGTGTATCGTGGCAGAGGCAGGTGCGTTCACAGTGAAGGCCATAGGTGCCGTGCGTACACATCCTCTCTCTGCACTGGGGTCCTTTGAAGCCAGACTCACACAGACAGCCTCCATCTATGTTATAGCAGCGAGCCCCGTTGGCACAGTCACACAAACCCTTACAGTCCCGCCCGTAACTACCCACCTGACACTCCTCACTGCACCTGTGGAGATACAACACATACACACAAATCAGGACATGCTCCGAAACCAAAGTGGAATAACATATCTCTGGCTTGAACTGTATCAGAAACTATTCTATATGTATCTTATTTAATATTATGAAGGAAAGATACATGAACTGTATGATATAAACAACTTAGACCCAACCATGGGTGCAGGTTGAGTATATTGCAGATATATGTCTCTACTGCAGTGAGTTAGATAAACACACACACCTGTTTCCAGTGAAGCCTTCAGCACACTGGCACTGGCCTGTCTCAGGGTCGCAGTGGCCCCTGTTGTGACAAACACACTCCTGGGCACAGTTAGGACCATACCTGCCCTCTGCACAGCGCTCTGTACACACCTCACCCTGAGAGAGAGGGAGAGATAGAGAGAGAGGAGAGAAAGAGAAATAGAGAGAGTGAACATAGTACGATGACATTAAAACAGGGATCAGATTGATAACCTCAAAAGACAAAGATTTCCATGTTGACCCACTGATGCTGTGTTTGAGTCAGTGTAGGGATCAGGAAACGTACCGTCCACCCAGGGGGGCACGCACAGATCCCCTTCCCCTGGCAGATGCCCCCGTTCTGGCATGGGCATCGCAGCGGGCATCGACTCCTTGGGCATGCCTTCTCACAGCTGAGGAACATGGAGGAAATAACTCTGAGTGGCAGGTCAACTCAGGTTGTGTAGAGATTTTAATTTAGGGTACAAGTTAAGGTGTTCCTATCTTTTTCAATTTAGTGGAATCTCTTTGCGACACAGTGCATAAACATACAGAGAAAGTTGTTTAAGGACAAATAAAATGACTGCACTTGCAACAAATACTCAACTGTACACGGTAGAATTGATCAGTAGTGGTACATTGCCATACACTTCTACTATTTCTTATAGTCAAAGTGCCACCCACCAAAAAAAGGCTTCAGAAAAGGCATTCTGTGACCCAGGAAACAAAACTTCAACAAAGTTTCAACATCATTACGTAGATAATTGTATGAGTATGAACACTGTGTGGTTCAAAACTTGTAAAAGTTGCATATTGCTTAAATATTATAAATCAAAAGGTACAATTTCAAAATCATCGCGCATTTTGGGTAATTTCCTCTAGCAACATAATGAGGTTGCCATGTTAACCTTGTTACACAAGTTCCGTTGTCCATGCTTGCAGAAGCAACTTATGTACCGGACCGGAAAAATCACGGAATAATATGAGGTAGGAAGCTGTTGAAAGGTGCTAAATTGATTTTTTTCTCAGATGCCAGAACAGCGCATTATGTAGCTGTCGGGACCTTGAATGTTTTGAGAGCTGTGTTAGCTAGAAAACGCTGTGCTGTCTTTAGTATGGCTAGCAGGCAAACGCAATGATGGCCCTTGTAAGCTAAATACAGCTGCCAAAATGCCTTATACAGGTTCATCTGGATCAGTGAAGGACCGGCAATATGTGTTGCTTGGGCTTATGCACGGACAAACACCGAACGCACAAAAGTTATGTGTTTTGTGCGCCAGCGTGCAACAAAAGTAACCAAGGCGAAACATACCAATGTCGGAACGTTGCTAGGGATATTACCCAAGATGCGCTATGATTTCTTTGATAAAAAATAATAAATTAAAGTGCAACTTTTACAAGTTTTGAACCACACAGTGTTCATATTCATAAGTTTATCTACTTAGTTGTTGACATTTTGCAGTTTTGCTTCCTGGGTCACGGAACAACACATTTTTGGTGGGTGGTCCTTGGACTGTTAGAGTGCTGTGCGGTTTTCTGACATTGGCAGCTGCCTCATATAAAGAGTTTCCACTAATAGCTAGTAGTTCTCTACTCATCCTCAAGGGCATCTAAAACACAGGCTGTAACTAATGACTCATGCTCTAACCTAGTGTTTCAAGAGGGGCTCTTTTCCTGCATTGGAAGGATGGAATAAGGCCATAGGATATGGTATAACAATTAGTCTACTGCCCCCGCATTTTGTCTTTCCAACCTTAACATACAATTTACTTTATATTTATACATATAGCTGTAGGCCTATTTGAGAGAGTGTTACTTCTACTACTCACAATGTCCCAGTGAAACTTTCTCGACACAGGCACTCTCCGGTCACTTTATCACAGGAACCCCCAGTTCCACACTGGCACTTCTGAAGACAGCCCTTGCCAAAGGTGCCTGGTGGGCAGGGGTCCTCACAGCGGCGCCCAATGTAGCCTGGAGGACACTGGCAGGTACCGGTCACAGGATTGCACAGGCCACCGTTCTCACACTTACACAGCTGACCACAACCTGGACCCCAGTGTTTGTCATCGCAGGCTGGAAGACACACACAGACACAGATGATAACAGACACATCAAAAAATAAACCCCATGCAACAAAATATATGTAATCATATACATGTATGGATAAACCAGTGGACTAGTGGACCAGTGTACATTGTTTTCCATCTGATATCTCTGAAGGAGGTTTTCCTTATATTAACCTAACCTGATGTAGTTGCATGGTGATACACTGTATACTGTATGTGATTTCATTGCAATGCACATGAACAAAAACAAATCCAATTATATTCTATTCCATTTGGACCACTGGGACTGTCATGTTTCAACCCAAAAACAACAGCACAGGAACCAGAGTAGAAGACAATGGTAAAGATCACTCCCCCAGGGACAATATATCTATCCATGTATAGTCATGAATTTCCAACAAACAGAGACATAGTCAATGTCCAACTCTAGCCCTACTAGCTCATGAATCTCATGTTACCGACTTGTGATTCACGATTGACAGGGCGATTTGCATGGAGCCAACAAGATGGATGAGGTTCAAATTGGGAATTTTACAGTGGCCTTTCGGGATGGCTCTGGTGGTTATCGCCAACCGGTGAATCGCACAAGGTTTGGATTTCAATCAGAGTTAAAGAGCGTCAGGGGGATCATTCCTGATTCCATGAAAACCAGGATCCCACATGGACACACACTGACTCCTCCAATGTCTCATCAATAACGTGGACTGACTGGGGCGCAAACCCCATTCAAGGGAAAAAAAGATATCCAATATGGGTGATGTAACTGAAGCTTTGCACACAAGTGATGATCTCACTAACTATCATTACATTTACATTTTAGCAGACGCTCTTATCCAGAGCGACTTACAGGAGCAATTAGGGTTAAGTGCCTTGCTCAAGGGCACATCGACAGGTTTTTCACCTAGTCGGCTCAGGGATTAGAACCAGCGACCTTTCGGGTACTGGCACAACGCTCTTAACCACTAAGCTACCTGCCGCCCCACAATCATGATGACAACCATTCAATGATGGATTGATACTTCATTGTCTCATTGAGGTTTGTGGGGAATGACATACAGTGTGAATGATCACAAACAAATCGTACTGTTCTATATGGATTCTAGTGTGCTTGCTTCAGTCACAACTACTACTGCAGTAAAAACTACTACTACTTCCACTATGATAAAAAATACTTTTAGACAGCTGAAGCAAGCACACACATTTTCTACAGGAACTGTACCCTTTCTACGTAGTTTATAATGAGATCTTCCACCCACCTCTCTTTCCTTCAGTAACATACAGTATGTACTGTGTCACAGTTTCAAGCAGGACTTCTTTGACAATTAAATGGAGGGTACAGTATGGCCAAATTAGGGTTTAGAGCTAAAACTACCACATAGCAGAGACATGTTTATTACTCTAACTCAGAACAGGACCCTTTTCTATTTTCTTTGTTTAAATGAATCAAACATTTACTCATTCCGTGTGGGCGAGAGACGCTGAGAGGTTGCAGTTCGAGTGTGTGTCACATTGAGTTATGGGAAGCTCAGCTGGAGCAGCAATAATGTTTACACAGGCGTTCTCCAGGACGGCAATGGAGATTTAGTAAAGGACCTGCAGTTTACTAGTCCTTCTACTATCTGCTATCATAGTCCAGGCCTGACAAGGCCAGCCATGAGTGTGGGTGAGTGAAACGTGATGGATTGGACACCTAGGCTTTGAATAGCTGTGCTAGGACCAGCTGGCTGTGCCCAAGCCTCTGCACTTACCCAACTTATAACAGAACCCAGACCTGTTCTCACAGAAATGGTCCATGTGTTGTTTATATCTGATCAAGGTTCTAAAGTGACATTTTTTCGATTGATGCGCTCTTTAAAATGGCAAGTCTCCATTGTTACTGTAAATGGAATGCATTAAGATATGGTGGGAAAATTCCTCTCTTTCCCCAAGTGTATTGTCCGAGTGGTGGTGGAGGTCTCGTCTGCATCCAACAACAGCATTATCTCCCACATATCTAACTGAACCACATCCTTCTTTCCCCCACACCCTTCTTTCCCCCACACCCTTCTAGAGTATATCACTCTGTTCTTAAGCATCAAAACTCAACCAGTCATCTTTTCTGTATCTAAACCCCCCAACCTCACCCAACATAAACTATTCCATCACAATCTCTCTTCCCCAACGACCTCTTATTAAACTACATTTATTTAATTATCTCTATCTTCCTCTCTCGTTGTCTCTGTCCACTTCTCTCTCTCTCTCTGTCTCTAGCGCTCTCCCTCTTCCTCTTGTCTTTCTCTCAGCTCTCAGTGCTAAACCTCATCCTCTCTCTCATTTCCCACAGCTAGCTCAACACACAGGCATCTAAGTGTCAGCTCTTATTCTGCCAGTGAGCTTTATTATAGGCCTCAGCAGTATGGTGCCAAGGCCAGCACTCGTTTACCCAGAGAGAGAAGGAGAGTGAGGAAAAATAGGGAGAGGGGTAACATTTTCCATTTCCCCTTCCCATCATCCCCTCTGAAGGCATCATACACCACCAGCTTAAGTTAAGCCCTCTATTCAGCACTGTACTAGTGACCTGGTTGAGTTCAGAAGAACACTGGCATTGATTAACTGGGAGTTTCTGGGTTAATAAAATGTTTCTGGGATAAATAAAATGTAAAACATTAATAATGTGCTAAGATAAAGCTATTTTAATTAATATGCAAACTATAATTTTTTTTGCATTTGATTCCAAAAGTGTATACTTGCAGAATACGGAAAATATTGATTTACATCCCGGGTCCTGGGTCTAAGCATGCAGTATACGCACTATACACTGTTACATACTTGATGTAGTACAAAATGGCAAGTGGCAGGAAGGGGAGGGAGTGGGACATAGTGTCCTCCTGGTCTAATAAACTGTTTTCTGGGCTGTGGCTTACTTCAATGACGCATCACTGTTTATTTGGTAATGGTCCCTTGCTGTTTCCATTGGAAAGCCCTATGTGTGACTGAGTGTTGTGTGTGAGGATCAGTTTTTGAGTAATGGTCACCTGTCATATCCTGCAGTGTGTGTGTGTGTGTGTGTTGATGTAACGCACCACTGGAGCAGTCGTCGTCACGCCAGCCTCCCTCACACTGGCAGCGGTCTGGAGCAACACATCTCCCATGGACACACTCCTTAGTACAGCGGGCTAGTGATGAAAAACACACACAAACACACTCTTTAGTAGACTCGAAGGTCATGCATGTCTACTCTCCAGAATGTAACCAACTCAGCAACCAAGCACAAAATAGGATGAATTCTAGAAATCAATGGCAAAATATGTCTATATTTAATTAATTGAAATGCTACTGATGAATCTTCTAAGTTAGCTTTGATATGGTAATAAAGAAAAGCTATGGCGTTAAACTTACGGACACATTTGTCTCTGCTCTCGTAGTAGCCAGGGCAACACTGGTACCTCCGGCGGTAGTCCATCTTCACCGCCTGTCTGTATGCTGTCTTATAGGTGATCCTGGCCAACACAAAGTCAAATAGAGAATCCTTCCTGTTACCCCCTGACCTTATGGACAGAACCAGGAAGTAGACAGGAAGTGAGTCGGCAGACTGTGTTACCTGTGACGGGTGCATCTGTAGGAGGTGCGTGGCTCAGAGCAAGGTTCCTCTGTCACCTGGTCATAAGGGTGGGCGTACGACTCCTTCACTGAGGTTGTGAAGCTGCATGAAAGGACAAAATGTACTCAAGACATAATAATAGGCAAATGCAATACATTGACAGAACGGACTGTGGGGTTCTATTTTCTCATAACTGGATGGGATGACTAACTTACAAAGAATGCATTAATGATTAAAGCATAAAAGGTTTATACTGTACTGATATGAATTGTTTCACATAACAGGCTGTGATTCATGTGAGGAACGTTAGGGGCTAGGATGAGATAAAACTTGTATTTCTTATAGATAAGACTTGTATTTCTCACAGATACGAACACTGCCTCTTTGTTGTCTGTGAACCGTCCTTGAACGTAGTACAGTGGAATGGTGTCTTTTGGGTGCTGACTCCACAGGTTGTTATGATAAAAACGTATGCCTGGCAACAGTGTGCAACAAGTGGAGAGCCAAGAGGCTGGGACTAGCCTGTGCGCCAACGGATTGGCTGAGTAAGTCTAAACCACGCTCAGTCTCTACTCTGATTGGCCAGCAGGGAGTGGGAAATATCTCTGTCAGAGTATTTGAAGAAGAACCTGTAACAATGGATTAGTTCTCTGTCTGCCCTGCGTGGTATTTCAGTGAGCCCGTATACGAACCAACATACTTATCATACATACATTTTGCATATAATAAATTTAGCTTGGATTGAATATCTCTTGATTATGTTTTCTCTTATTCCAATACCAGATTTGAATTATGCAATTTCTAACAGGACCCATCATGGTCTAGAGTTGAGACAACCTGAAGTTCATATTTTGAGCCAAGTGCTACATATTCAATGATAAGTGCAACAACGAACAACAAGTTAGTTATACTTCTACTTCTTTCTCACACACTAAACAGTATAAACAAAAAATGTGCTCTCTTCTATTCTGGTACAATGAAATGACATGAGCTACACTGACTTACCTCTCCCATAGGCTACACACGTTGGGATCCCTTGGGTTCAGAGACCAGGACAGGCCAATCAGAACACTCAGAACCAGCAGGACGGTACAGGTCTGCAGTGACTGCATGGTCCTGAGGAGAGAAAGGGAGGAAAAAGGTTATGGAGGATATTTATAATGCCTATCCATGGGAGAAATATCAGTGATAATAGGCTATAGATCGAAAGCATGAGGACCGACATTTGAGGAGAGGGTTATTAAGGATCAGGTTATTAGCAGGAAAGGGGACAATCAAATACCTATCTTTTTTATTTTCTTATTAAACAGCTAATCAAATCATACTGGCTTGGCTACTTGTCCGCTTTTAGCCCACCATCTGAATTACAAAGATATCAAACACTTCACATTGTAAAGAATATTAACATTTATCTGAAACCTTCCCGTAGTTTCAGTCCAAGGGGAATCTAATGATATTCTCAGCACCTATAAAGCATGGTAAGTATTACACCTTGTAAAAGAGTTCATTAAACACGAAGCAGAGGTAAGGCAGCGGGCCAGCATTGAGCCATTTACCCAAACCCTCCCCGTCGCGCACCCTATTCTCCCCATATGGCAACTTAGAACAGAGGAATCTGAGCAGTGGTGTTAAGTAGTTTTTTGGGGTATCCGTACTTTACTATTTATATTTTTGACTACTTTTACTATGTTCCTAAAGAAAATTATGTACTTTTTACTCCATACATTTTCCCTGACACCCAAAAGTACTTACATTTTGAATGCTTAGCAGGACAGGAAGATTGTCCAATTCACACACTAATCAAGATCCCTGGTCATCCCTACTGCCTCTGATCTGCCGGACTCACTAAACACAAATGCTTCGTTTGTAAATGATGTCTGGAGTTGGAGTGTGCCCCTGGCTATCCGAAAAAAATAAAATAAAACATTGTGCCATCTGGTTTTCTTAATATAAGGAATTTGAAATGATTTAGTATATTTTAGCAATTACATTTACATTTTATCCTTAAGCATATTTAAAACCAAATACTTTTAGACTTTTACTCAAGTAGTATTTTACTGGGTGACTTTCACTTTTACTAGAGTCATTTTCTTTGAAGGTATCTTTACTTTTACTCAAGTATGACAATTGGGTACTTTTTCCACCACTGAATCTGAGAGAGTGATAAAGAGCGAGTGAACGAGCGAGAGAGAGAGAGACAGAAATGGATTGGAGGGAGGAATGCGACTTCAGCTACCATCCTAGCTATTATCAATCAGAGCTGGAGAGAAGACCACACTCTTCCGCCATGTCCCCTTCCACACTCACACACCATCTGGATCCAATCAAAACGCAGACCCAGGGGAACGCCTAGTGATGGGGACCGGAGCAGGCTCTCAGGGAGCGGCAGGGAGGCCGGCACAGAGAAAGTGGTATTTTTCCCCCAAAACTCCCATGGACATTTTGGGAAGTTCAGGAACACTATAGCATGGGTCGACTGAAGGGCCATTCCCCTCATCGTGGGAAAGGGACGGTCTTTGGAGGATGGACTGATGTTGACATAGAATTGGTCAAGGCTATTTATTCCCTTCTGTTTTTGTAATAAGTCCCCATGACAGAGTTAGTGTACTATAGCTTCTCATGTCACCAACGAGCATGAAATAAAGAGCTTGGGGTATTCAACTATTTCTATGACTATTCCAAAGAAGATATTTAGTAATTGGTTCAGTCAAGCAAAGAGAGGAACAACAAGGCCTAGGCCTAGCCCTTCACAAGGTCTCTTCCTCCCCTCACAACGTAAGGGTGTGGTTCTTCAACAATGCCATGCTAGGATCCCTTTTAGGGGCTTCAGCCAAAGCATTTTCATAATCAAAGTAACAAATAAACTGCAGCCACACCCCAGCAGTCACACTAAACCTACAGCTGTAGCTATGAGTTGATTTGGCAAATGCTCCCTGTAACATAAATCATGTACATTCACTGATCTGCTGCTTTTGATATATCACCCCTTACAACCCTCCTGTCTTCTGTGTCAGGAGATAATTGTCAGAATGCGACGGTGAAATGCGGTAGGCGAAGTCAAACGCAGGACACAGAGCTTACTGGAAACGTACTTTACTTGAAAGTAACCAGAGAAGAAAACAATCTCCATACAAGGAGGAAAAACAACCCGCACACTAACACTGCCGATGACGAATACAATAATACACAACACACAATGAACGACAAGAGGGTTAAATAGGGAATACAATACAACGTAATGGGAAACAGGTGTACACAATCAGGACAAAACAAGTCAAACACCGAAACATAGATCGGTGGCAGCTAGTACTCCGGGGACGACGAACGCCGAAGCCTGCCCGAGCAAGGAGGAGGAGCAGCCTCGGCTGATTCCGTGACAATAATACACATTCTGGCACACACTCTTAACGCCTTAAAAAGCTGCACCACTAAAACAGAATTTTACAAGAACAGGCGTATGGTTTTTATTAAGAGGAGCAAGCGACATTAGCAGCCACTTTATTGGACTGGGGTAAATATTTTCGAGATCGGCGCTCGCCTTTTGACGCCTGATGGCCCGCTGCAGATGGACGTGCGCAGCGTTCCAAGTTTCTTCCGAGCGCCGAAACCACTCGTCCACCGCAGGGGCTTCGGTCTGGCTCTGATGCCAAGGTGCCAGAACCGGCTGATACCCTAACACACACTGGAAAGGCGTAAGGTTAGTGGACGAATGGCGGAGGGAGTTTTGGGCTATCTCTGCCCAGGGAATATATCCCGACCACTCCTCTTGCCGGTCCTGGCAATATGACCTCAGAAACCTACCCACATCCTGGTTAACTCTCTCCACCTGCCCATTACTCTCGGGGTGAAAACCTGAGGTAAGGCTAATCGAGACCCCCAGACGTTCCATAAATGCCCTCCAGACTCTAGAGGTGAACTGGGGACCCCGATCAGACACTATATCCTCAGGCACCCCATAGTGTCGGAAGACGTGTGTAAACAGGGCCTCAGCAGTTTGTAGGGCAGTAGGGAGACCTGGCAGGGGAATGAGACGGCAGGCTTTAGAAAACCGATCCACAACGACCAAGATCGTAGTGTTCCCCTGGGAGGGGGGAAGGTCCGTGACAAAATCCACCGATAGGTGAGACCACGGCCGTTGTGGAACGGGTAGGGGTTGTAACTTCCCCCTGGGCAGGTGTCTAGGTGCCTTACACTGGGCGCACACCGAGCAGGAGGAAACATAAACCCTCACGTCCTTAGCTAAGGTTGGCCACCAGTACTTCTCACTAAGGCAGTGCACTGTCCGACCAATACCCGGATGACCAGAGGAGGGTGACGTGTGAGCCCAGTATATCAAACGGTCGCGAACTTCGAGCGGCACGTACCTCCGACCCTCTGGACACTGTGGAGGAGTAGGGTCGGAACGTAACGCCCGCTCTATTTCCGCATCCACCTCCCACACCACCGGTGCCACTAAACAAGACTCCGGGAGTATGGGAGTGGGCTCAATGGACCTCTCCTCTGTGTCATATAGTCGGGACAGGGCGTCTGCCTTAGCGTTCTGGGACCCTGGTATATAGGTGAGCTTAAATACAAAACAGGGAAAGAAACATTGACCACCTTGCCTGGCGAGGATTCAGCCTCCTCGCTGCCCGGATGTACTCCAGGTTACGATGGTCAGTCAGAATGAGAAAAGGGTGTTTAGCCCCCTCAAGCCAATGTCTCCACACCTTCAGGGCTTGAACCACAGCCAGCAGCTCCCTATCCCCCACGTCATAATTGCGCTCCGCCGGACTGAGCTTCTTAGAATAGAAAGCACAGGGGCGGAGTTTAGGTGGCGTACCCGAGCGCTGAGACAGCACAGCGCCGATCCCAGCCTCGGAAGCGTCCACCTCCACCTGGAATGCCAATGAGGGATCCGGATGCGCCAGCACCGGAGCCGAGGTAAACAGGTCCTTCAGACGTTTAAACGCCCTGTCCGCCTCAACTGACCACTGCAGGCGAACCGGACCCCCCTTTAGCAGAGAGGTAATGGGAGCTGCTACCTGTCCAAAGCCCCGGATAAACCTCCGATAGTAATTGGCAAAACCCAAGAAGCGCTGCACCTCCTTTACCGTGGTGGGAGTCTGCCAATTCTGGAAGAACATACATTTCTCCGCCTTCGCATACAGGTCATGCTCCAACAGTCTACCAAGCACTTGACGCACCAGGGACACATGCTCGGCTCGTGTAGCGGAATATATTAGAATGTCATCAATATATACCACAACACCCTGCCCATGCAAGTCCCGGAAAATCTCGTCCACAAATTATTGGAAGACTGAAGGAGCATTCATTAACCCGTATGGCATGACGAGGTACTCATAGTGACCCGAGGTGGTACTGAATGCTGTCTTCCACTCATCTCCCTCCCTAATGCGCACCAGGTTGTACGCGCTCCTGAGATCCAATTTTGTGAAGAATCGCGCCCCGTGTAATGACTCCGTCATACTAGCAATCAGAGGGAGAGGATAGCTGTATTTGATGGTGATCTGATTTAGACCACGGTAATCAATACACGGGCGTAAACCCCCATCCTTCTTCTTCACAAAAAAGAAACTTGAGGAAGCAGGGGAAGTAGACGGCCGTATGTAACCCTGTCTCAAAGATTCGGTGACGTAGGTCTCCATAGCGGCCGTCTCCTCCTGAGACAGAGGATACACGTGACTACGTGGAAGCGCAGCGCCTACCTGGAGGTCTAATGCACAATCCCCCTGTCGATGAGGTGGTAATTGAGTCACCTTCTTCTTACTGAAGGCGAGAGCCAAATCGGCATCCTCAGGTGGAATGTGCAAGGTGGGAACTTGGTTCGGGCCTTTCCACCGTCGTTGCCCCTACGGAAACGCCTACACACCGCCCAGTACACTGATCAGACCATTCCTGGAGAGCTCTCTGCTGCCATGAAATGTTGGGGTCATGAGCTGTTAACCAGGGAAGTCCCCAACACCACGGGAAACTTAGGAGAATCAATCAAATACAACCGTACGATCTCCTCATGACCCTCCTGCGTTTTCATCCGGAGAGGCGCCGTGACCTCCCTAATCAAACCTGACCCCAACGGGCGGCTATCTAGGGCATGAATGGGGAAGGGCACATC